CAATTCCTGTTCATAACTTCTACAGCTAAAATTTTATGCACAAGAACTGGCAGGCTCACTTTGTCTACCTGCTGCATACTCTCCTTGCAAGCTTTGCATATTGCTTCTGTTTGTGGTCTCTGGAAGTTAAATCCTTGGTCATAAAACCAAAGGGATCTGGGTTTCTTTTCTCCTGTAGTGGGTCAGGGGAGAAGGGGTGATGTCACAGCATCGAGTCCCCTGGTGCACCCTGGAGTCCTACACCTGGAGCTTTTGGACAGCATGCTCGGAGACTGTCCCTCGGTCGGTCCAGGTGTCCACAGCTCTGCCGAGTGCTGTCCTGAGATCCGTCGGCTCTGGTTTTTATAAGCAGGCACATTTTCAGATGTCCCAAGTGGGGTCACGTTACCAAGGACGCCCACATTGGTATCTCTGACTTACGCATCATTAAAAGTCATGTTCTGAGGATACGTGAGGCTCTAAGAGAGTGTTGCACAGAGGGAGGACACAGATCAGTGTGTGTTTAAGACATCTGTGAGGCTGCAGACGAGAGAGAGACAGAGAGAGAGACAGAGACAGAGAAGACACCGCCATTCACAGCGGATCACTTTCTCCTCCACATCCCCGTCTTCTGCGATTCCTCCGCACCTTGGGCCAGGCAGTGACGTGCACGCTGCTTGACAGAGGTGTTGTGTGCAAGTGGCGGCAGTGGCCCCACAGCACCTCTGCCGGGCCTGCTGCTTGCTCCTCCCACATCCCCTGTGTTACGGACAGCGCCTGGGCATGGTGCGGCCAGCAGAGCTCTGTCCTCAGCTGCCGGCTCCCTGTGCATGTGCACGACCATGCACACTTCCGCCCGATGTCCTCCCGTCTCCTGTGCTGCTTCCTGCCATCACTACGTCCAGCTCTCCCTCACGTTTGTCCTGGCGCAGTGACTTCCAGGTGCCCGGATGCCTGGCCAGCACCAGGACCTCAGTTCTGGAAACTCTGGTCTCCATTTACCTCTCCTGTGTGGACTTGGCCACTTCTCCCGGGCCCACTCCTGAAGCCTGTGGTCCACCCAGGCTTGTCACTTCCTGTGAGCCCCTTCTCCCCCGGCCCCTGCCCTGGCCCATGGTGTGCCACCCCTGCCTGCTGGACACCGCAGCCCACTCATCAGCCTCCCTGTGCACCCGCACCTTACTCCTCCACTTCCTTCTTTACCCAGCATGGTTTCGATGCTCCTGCCTTCAAAGGAGCTTCTGTTACAGCCCCAAACCGCTTGCTCTTTCATTCTTTCATTCCAAACAGCCCCCACTCGGCAGCCCCCACTCCTGACGGGTCCAGCCTGCAGCCCTCTGCCACCAGCGCTGGCCAAGCCTGCTGGACAGAGCCCCGAGTGCCCACACCAGTGCCGGATGCCGCTGGGCTCAGGGTCTCAGCTTGGGGGCCTGACATCGCTGTCTTCATCCCGAACGTCTCTTCTCCCCGCACTGCCCACATCCGCCCCTCCTGGCTCCTCACAGCTCCTGCCTCCTGCTCTAGATGCTGACCCGACGGGCCCTTCCTCCCCATGCGGGCTCCACCTCGCTCCGGCTAAAAGCACACCTGGTCCCCCACCTTCCCTGCCTGCAGCCTCCCCTCTCTGCCCTTGACTTCCCGGGCCCCCCCACCCTGCTCCACAGCTGCTCCTCCTTTTCCCTGAGTGTCACTGCCGCTGACTGCGGCCCTAGTCTCCAGCCAGCCAGCTCTCACCAGGGTCCTCGGGACCCTCGAAGGCTCCTCTCCAGCGTGCACCATCTCAGGGGCACCTTACTTCTCTGCCCCCTGCCTTTGTCTCCCCAGGGTCAGCCCTGCACATCCAGCTGCACGTCCTTTCTTCTCTTGGAATTTAGTTCCATATGGCCTGGAACGGAACCTAATCCAGGATTCCTGGGAGTTCCCTGCTGTCTCCCTGCTGTCTCCCTGCTCAGCCCACCCCTGCCCAACCTGGACACGTGGGTCAGAATCTCCGCATTCCACCCACACCAGGGTGCCACAGCCCGGTCCCCTCTGCACTGCCCCACAGCTTCAGCCCTGTCACCCTCACTCCTCAAGATCTTCGCTGGAAGGTGGTTCTGTGGTTTCTGAATTTCCAATCTTTAGCAGGCCGTGACTTTTGTAAAGATCAATATAAACTAGTAATTAATTATAGGAAAAATGCAATGAAAAGCTTGCCAAATCCCAGCCTCTGTTTTATTGCCCATGGCAGCATGCAGACAGGGCCACCACGGCTGGCTCCAGTAACCTGAGGGAACATCGGTGGTGTGTGGGGCCCACGGGTTGCACACAGGTCACCACCCGGGCTGTGGAGCCTCCTGCTGGCCCCTGACAGACCACCTGGGGGTCACTGCTGCGGGCACGGCCTTGGAAGCCTGTGAGTGGGCCAAGGCCTGGCCTCCCTCCCTGCTGTTGCCCGTGTGCCCCGCCTTGTCCACCCCCTTCACGTCCACTCCTCACTCCCAAGCTTGACACTTCTTCCTCCTCCAGGGTCCCTGACCCCCTGAGCCAGCTCTTCTTGCCCTCCTTGTCCTGTAACAGCATGGCCACCCGGTCTGCTGAGACCCAGTTCCACCTGAGCGAGCGAGGCCAGCGCATGGGACCGGGAGGCCAGCAGGCCAGGCTCATCGACAGGCTGGGTGCAGGGTCTGCTCGGATGCGGACGCAGAGCTGGTCCACACGTGGGAACAGATGTTTCCCCCTCTCTCCACACATCTGCAGTTCAGAAAGTATACACAGCCACTTGCATTACATGGAGCAATTACTGCCTTGAATTTAGCTGCAGAAAGCATTTGGAGATCATTCTAAGTAAATTATCTTAACCAATCTAAAAATATTTCTGAGCTGCCAACCCGACCACAGAAGCCTTGTGTTCCTTGGCACCATCTCGCTGGAGTATGGACGGCTCTGAGGGGCTTGGCACCATCTCGTCCTCACGGTCAACCCTCAGTTCTCAGACTCTGGGGAAGCCTGCAGTCCAGTGCTTGTGAACTCACGGTCTGGGGCAGCTTCAGTAGCAGACGGCCCAGCCATGTGATATGCGTGCCAGTCTTGTCCCCAAGAAGGGGGAAGCTACTGGAAGCGTCTGCAGAGAAGGCTTCGAGTGGGCACCCATGTTTGGAGCTCATTCAGCTCCACTCCTTGTTGCCAACCCCCAGGCAGCCAGCATTCTTTGTGGTGGATGCTCTCAGCATCAGCAGGTGTCACTCAGCATAGGCTGGTCGAGGGCACCCACGCAGGGCAGGGTGGCTGCAGAGCTGGTGGTCCTGCAGGGTGGAGCTGGTCCTTGCAGAGAGTGCTGTGAACCGAGATTCACATGAGGAGGAGAACACACCAGAGTTGGGTGAGGAGAGTTACGGGATATTTTTTGTGGTTTTTTGGGGGGGGATGGTACGGGGATTGAACTCAGGACCTTGCACTTGCAAGGCAGGTGCAGTGCCACTGAGCTACATCCCCAGCCCCTATTAGGGAATTTTTTTATTGCACTGTTCAGTTTTTCTTTTTTTCGGTACTGGGGACTTTACCCAGGGCCTTCAGTTGCCCAGGGCTGGCCTTGAACTTGTGATCCTCCTCCCTCAGCCTCCCAGAGCTCTGGGATGACAGGCCTGGCTTTGTTCCCTTTCTTTCTTTCTTTCTTTTTTTTGTACCAGGGATCAAACTCGGTTCCTTGTGCTTTCGAGGCAGGTGGCGGAACCACTGAGCTAAATCCCCAGCCCTGTTCGCTTTCTTAGTGTTTGCTCCAGGACGGGCACTGAGCTCTGTGTTTGTGCATGTGTGACCCTGCAGGGAGGCAGCCCGATGCCTCCTCCTTCCTGTAACCCGCTGGCCAGGCCTGCATCTGTCCCCCACCTATCTCCCACCCAGGAGTCCCACACAAAGGCCTCAGCACTCCTTTGAGATAGCTATGGGTCACTGTCTGCCGTAGGGCCTGCTCTCTGCAGCCTCAGCTCGTGGAATCCCGCGTGCCCCATGGAAGGCGCCGGGAGCACCATGGGAGGTGGGATCCACATAGAGAGGCCAGTGACGGGCTCCAGCCTGCAGGCTGTAAGGCGGCTCTTGTCGCCCCTTGCCTTCCCCTGTCTCACAGATGAGTCCGGACTCTCACATCTCTGGTCTCTGCCGGTGCCCCTCTGCCCACCTAGGCTGGGCTGCTCCTCCTTAGGCTCCCCGTGCCCACCTCACCGCGCCCTCTTTGTGGAGGTCTTGCCCTTGGCCTGCCTGCCTCTGAGCCTCCCCGTCCGCCATCATTGTTGGATCCAACCTCCTTGGGCTCAGTCACCACTTTGCCCGCTGAGCCTCTTCTGGGCAGGAGGCACTCATGTGAAGGAGCCACATCGCTGGTACAGGGCCCTCTAAACGGAGAGCACATGGCACACAGCCTCCTCTCTTCTTTATTCCTTATTCTCCTGATATTGTCTGGCTGCCTAGCAGCGCAGCTTTCTGAACTGTTTAGGGGCAAGATGCATACAGGGCCCAAACTCCAGAGGTCTCTGTCAGGGCCCTGGGGCTCTGGCTTTGCCCTTGGTGACCGCTGGCCGGTGACACATCACCTTCACATCGCTCATCGATCTGCTCTTACTGATAAAACGGTGAAGTCGAATATCTGAAACCTCTTATTTTATAGTCCATGGAGATTTCCCACATACAAATCAGTAGACCCAGCACACAGATAAAATTAAATTATTGATTTTCAGTGGGCAGAAATCACAGCATAGAGAAACTCAGTCTCGTCCGTTGTGGGTGGGTAGAGCTCTCTGGGAAGAGCCCACCTGTGCCTTGAGCATCAGTTGCTCAGTGTTAATGTGATGCTGTCGTTCTGGCTGGACCTTGCGCTGCAGCAGTGACAAGTGGCGCAGTCCTCCGTGCTGGCCCGTGCCTGACCTCATGGGATTCCTGATGGCTGGGCGGGGCCGCTTCCTGCAGAGCAAAACCGCGCACATGCATGTGTGTGTCCACGCGCGCGTGTTTCCACGTGTGCTCAGGGCTACATTTGTGCCTTGCAGAACTGCAGGAACTGGAGGGCCGCTGTCGACCTGTGCGGACGCCTCCTCACTGCCCACGGCCAGGGCTACGGCAAGAGCGGGCTGCCCACCAGCCACACGACAGACTCGCTGCAGGTCAGAGCACAGGACCGGGCTCCGGCCACTGGGACACAGAAGGGACACAGCCTTTGGAGGGCTGAGGGCGGCGGGGAGGTTCCCTCCTGCAGGGGGTGCCTCAGAGGCTGGGCCTGGCAGGCGGCTCTGTCTGCTATCCAAATTCACTAAATTCTGTAGATCTAAATGTTTAGCTTCCACAGACAACAAGGTCAAGCAGGACTCATCTCTGTGCTGGCGTACTTAGCAGGACCCTGCATTCACTCGCATTGTCGCAAATGACTGGTTCCTTTTGAAGTTCAGCTAGTATTCCGCCAAGTACGTGTGCCGCATTTCCTTCACCCCTTCATCCATCGATGGCCACAGCAAACCTCGTTTTCCTATCATTGAGGGCAGATCAGTTGAGGTCATCTCCAAGGTGCCGCCGAACGTTAGAAATGAAGGCCCGAGATCAGGTGGATAAGGAAAGGGAATTTCTGACCGGAAGCCTGGATGTAACCTGCTACCTGTCGTGCTCTGCCTTGCAGCTTTGGTTTGTCCGGCTGGCACTGCTGGTGAAGCTGGGGCTCTTCCAGAACGCCGAGATGGAATTCGAGCCCTTCGGGAATCTGGACCAGCCAGACCTGTACTACGAGTACTACCCGCACGTGTACCCTGGGCGCAGGGGTAAGGCACGGGGTGTAATGTGGGGACCCCCGCTTTGGTTTGTTTATACAGACTTACATATCCTCAGCTGTCCTCATCCCAATCAGAAAAATGAAATCTGTTTTATACACGTTCTGACCTGCGAGTCCTCGAGGGCGGGCCCTGTGGGTCACTGAGCAGCCATCTGCGGGGTGCTGGGAGGAAGGCAGCGTGTCCCGGCAGGGGGCGTGGGTGGGAGGCCTCAGACTCCTTCCTGGTGCCCCACAGTGGGAGCTCAGCCTTCCCACACGGGGCGCACCACGCCACTTCCTGTTCATCTCCATTGTGATTTTTAAAACTGGTTGTGGCCCACAAGAGGGTCACAGTCACCACCATTAGGCTGGTTCCAGAACAGGGGCAGGACACCAGGGGCAGGGGGCTGGACGGGGGCTGGAGGGGGAGGCAGACTGCAGAGCAGAGTCACGTGCCTGCGAGGGGAAGCCCTTGCAGCCCTGTACTCCTGCTGTGTTCCCGTCGTGTCGAGACCTGCGTGGCACAGTCCCAGTGCCACTGTGGGCAAGTCAGCCACGACCCTGTGCCCCAGCGCCCTCGTGAGCAAAACAGGGACCCAGTCTTCTCCCTTCCTGCGGTGCTGTGAAGATGAAGTAACGTCACCCGTCAGCTACATCTGCTGCCTCTGCTGCTTTACTCTGTGCTGCAGTGTAAACAACATCTTCTGCTTTTCTGTGAGATCGTGGGGCCAGCATTTGTTGATAGAAACTCAGCTTCTATCCAGGATCCTCCAGGCCCCCTCGCAGTGTCACCTCATTCTCACACGAGAACACAGCTCCTTTCTCCCTGACACCTTTGCGTCCAGGCACCCTGCAGCCACCGTCCTTCCTCCGTGCTGGTCTGTTTGTTCCTCCCAGACAGCGATGCCTGAAATGAATCCGTGCCGGGGATGGATAGAGAGAAGACAGCAGCTATGCATCATTAAGCAGCTAATTCAAACTAGGAAATGGACACAAATCATACATCCACAGTAATATGCTGCGTGTTTGCTAATTTTTCTTTGCATTCTGTGGAGTAACAAGCATAAACGTTAAGAATTTGAGGGCCAGGGATTTGCTCAATGGTTCTGTTGCCTGCCCTGCAAGTGCAAGGACCTGAGTTCGATCCCCGGTACCAAAAAAAAAAAAGGATTTGATTCATTCATTTCATTTTAGCTCCCAATATATAAGCAAAGGAAGTCGTTAAAATGTGCTTTAAAAGAAAGGTTATGGCAACACAAATAATTTTTATGAATGAGCTTTAATATATTTCATTTAAACATCGGGCATCATTTTTATCCATTCAGAGGATTCATAACAAGACGTGCGGTGGTTCCAGCGCCTGCCTCACAAGTGCAAGGTCCTGAGTTCGATCCCCAGTACCAAAAAAAGACGTGAGATGAATAGTGTCAAATCAGGAAGTTGTCTTTTCATCCCAGAGAGAAACCGCGCTGGGCTCTGACTCCCCTGGCAGTTCCTGTCAGCCTCACTGGGCCCCCTTGAAGCAGTTTGCTGGTCTCCTGGCCTCAGCGCACCCTGCTGTCAGTGAGAAAGAACTGTAGCACCCAGGGCTGAGCCCAGGCAGCTTAGGGTCGCAGAGGGTGGAGAGGCTCCTGTTTCTTTGCCTCTTCATATGAACTTGAGAATCAGCTTGCTGATCAATACCCACAAAACAGCTTGGTGGGACTTTGAGTGCATTAAATCCGTACACCAAGTTGAGACAAAATGACTTCCAACACCCTCGAGTCTTCCTGCCCATGAACATGGGATGTCTGTCCATCCACTTGGACCTTTTGATTTCTTCAGAAGATTTCGTTTTCTTCATCGTGTCTTTCAGATTTATAGCTACGTGTTTGGTTTGTTGTGGTGCTGATGTAAATGGTATCCTGCTTTCAATTTCAGTTGTTAATTGCTGGTACTTAAAAATCCAGCTGACTTTCATGTATCACGCAATCGTTAATTGCCTGCCTGTGTGGGTTCAGCAGGCACCTGATGCAGCTGTGATTCGGTTGCAGGCTCCATGGTGCCTTTCTCCATGCGCATCCTGCACGCAGAGCTGCAGCAGTACCTGGGCAGCCCTCAGGAGTCGCTGGACAGACTGCACCGGGTCAAGACTGTCTGCAGCCAGGTGAGCGGCCCCGCCTCAGTCCCCGCCCTGCACAGCAGCCCCATCTCCTCCTCCCTGAGGCCCCAGGCACCTGACTTGGTGTCCGGGGCGCCCGCTGCTCCTGCTGGAGGCTTTTCAGGGTGGGAGGGTGGCTGCTGGTATAGCCAGGGTCCTGAAATCCCCATTCCTGGGATTCTGGGTAGATGAAGAGCAGAGATGGGATGTTCACCTCCCGTGGAAGTCGCACATGTGAGCCTGTGCCTGGTTGCCCCCACAGGGCCTTGGGTGCACATGCACACACGTACTTCCACCCACCCACACACGCACACATACACACATGCACTCTTGAGTGCCTGTCTGCTTTAGCAGCAGCGTTGCAATGCTCGTGGTGATACCTGTCCCTCCTGATGCTGACACAGGGGACCAGGCCAGCAGCAGCTACACCACAGCAGAGCAGCTGTCGCCATGGGGACTTTGGAGGAGACTGGGACTGAGAGGCCTCGCTGTGTGCACCCGGCAGCCCGGTGTCTGGGCACCTGCACTGGGACCAGCACACGCACAGCACCCCAAGGGCTGAGGGAAGGGGTGCAGGGTGACCACAGCAGCCCTCGGGAGCGTCGGCAAATCAGAATTTCTTAAAAAGTGGGTCACGTTTTCCAGCCGGTGTGGCTGTGCCCAGCGTAGTTGTGAGTCCACCTTCAGGCCCTACTGCTTGCAGCCTGGTCCCACCCCAGGTGCTGTACGGGAAGTGCTGTCCTAGCCAGGCCAGGGGCCCTGGGTGCCGCGGCCTCCCCTCCATCTGGCCCTGCACTTAGTGCCCAACTCCCACAGACTGCGAGTAGCACCTGTTGCATGCACCCACAGTGGTGCAGCCAGCGAGGGGCCGGGCGTGCGGGCCCCTCTTCTCAGCCTCCTGCAGTGGGGCCCGGTTAGGACCGAGGAGCTGCGTGGGTGCCGTGCAGAGCAAGGCTGGGATCCTCTGAACAGCAAGGGCCCCCGGCTGTGTGGCAGTGGGGCTGGTCACGTGTGCAGCCTGAGCGGCATGTTCCTTCCAAGCTTCCACTTGCTCCTTGGACTGAACACCAGCAGGCTCCTACTCTGAGGGCTTCCTTTCCGCCTGCCCCCTCCCCAGGTACTGGCAGCTGTCTGCATTGTTGGGGTGCACCCCATCCCCCAGCCCTGCCTCCCCACGCAGACTGCATCCGGAGCCCCCTCTTCCATCCCCCACTGTGCCTCTATCCCTGCACCCAGACCCCCGTCCGCTTCCAAACGGCCTCTTGAGACAGAGTTGCCTCCTGGGCCCCTCCTTCAGAGACCCCAGGAAGGTGCCCTTGCAGGACCCTGGCTCCGACCTGAACACCTCCAGAGCTATCTGTGCCCTGGGCAGCGTACTATTCCTCACAGGAGCCTTCAGTAGAAGTGCAAGGAACCTTGGCTTAGCGGAGTGCCAGTTCCCAACTGCCACGTGACAGATCAGTGCAAAGCCAGCAGCTTAAAACCACAGGGATTTTTTTTCTTTAAAAAAAAAAAGCTTTTGGCCTTCACCCTCTGCCCACACCCTCATTGCTCTTGTTCAGTGGAAAAAAAAATTTATTTTTAGAATTTTTTATTGGTATACATGATATATAATAATTCGTTTGGGGGACTGGTGTGTGCGTGCGTGTGTATGTGTGTGTGTATGTGTGTGTGTGTGTTTAATCGTATCTTCATTATTTTTGCTCCCCTTTCTCCACATTCTTTTCCCCCTAACCCCCCTTCCACATTTCCAACCATTAAACTTAATTTGGGGACATTAGTATTTTTGATAAACATGTCTAACCGAACTGTTCACACACCCAGCCCCGGTACCTGCACACTCCCAGCCTCTAGTCATCACCGTTTGCGTTCCCGCCACCTCTTTAATTTCCATGTGAGAGAGGGCACGCAGCACTTGTGCTGCTGTCCTCGGCATAATGTCTGCTAGTTCTATCAGTTTGGCTGCAAATGGCAGGATTCCGTTCTTTATGGCTGCATAATACTCCATTTTGTGCATACCACATTTTCTTCCTCTATGCATCTTTGGGTGGGTACCTCCCCAGCCGAGGCAGCCTTTTTCCTTCTTTTTCTGGCTGCTTCTCACTGGGGTGAGATACCATCTCGGAGTTTTTGTTTGCATCCCCCGTGGCTACCGATATTAAGCATTGTTTCCTGTCCTCTTCGGCCATTTGTGTTTCTTCTTTTGAGAAATACATACTCAGGTCATCCGCCCATTTTTAATTGACTTGTTTGTCATTCTGTCTATTGCATTCCCTGTAATTCTGGATGTTGAGCCCTGGTCAGCAGGGCACTGGGCAGATCCCTCTCACTCTGTCGCTGTCTCTTTTTTTTTTTTTGGTACCGGGGATCAAACTCGGGTCCTTGAGCTTGTGCAGCACGCGGCGAAACCACTGAGCTAAATCCCCGGCCCCAGTTGCTGACTCTTTTGCTCTGATTTCTTCCTTGGCCCTGACTTCTTCCCCTGAGCGTCCCATCCACTATTGTCTGCTTGTCCCATCTCCTCCCTCCTGGGTGCCCTCCGCCAGGGAGCCGAATGACAGCACCCGGACCCTCTTCCCCACCGTTCTTGCCTGCAAGGTCCCCGGCAGGTGGCAGAGTGGCTGGAGCATGCCCCACGACCTGGGTGAAAGCGGCCCAGCCCGCCAGTGTCCTCCCGCCTGGGATTCCCTGTGGATTGTTCCTTGGCTCTCAGGAAATGGTGACGCCGCATGCTGCTCCACTTGGCGGGCACCTGGGCTGCACCCGCAGGTGACCAGGCTGTGCCCCGACGCAGTCGTCACAGCACTGCGTCAGCACCTTCGCTGGCTCTCCTGTCTTCGTTTTTCTCCCTAGCAAACAATCTTTCTGCTCAAGACCTTTTCTCGTCATCTCCCCTCAGATAAAGGGAAGTCACCCCCATGGCAGCGGCCCCAGCAGCCGCAGAGAAACATGCTCTGCGTCTGGGGTGCTTTGCTTTTGAGTTTTATTTTTCTCTTGGTTTTTTGAGATAGGGCTCTTAGTTACTTTTCTCTCAGTGCTGAGACAAAATGCCCAACACCCAGAGTTAAAGGCAGAAAGGTTTATTTAGTTCACGGTTTATAGAGGTTTCACTGTGTAATCAGCTGGCTCCAAGGCAGGGTGGCACATGGCAGAGGGCGACAGTTCATGGCAGCAGAAGACAGCAGAAGCAACAAGGGACCTTAACAGTGTCTTTCTGTCCCTTTTATCTTATTCAGACTACGTAGGGTGGGTAGCACTCACTCTCTTAACCCTAGTGCCTTCGGGCTAGCACCACCGGGAATCAATCACACACTCCAGATGCAGCCACCTCTGAGAAAGCATGAGGCCTTGGGGGACATCTAGACACAAGCCATGGCACAGGGTCTCGCTGTGCAGTTTAGGCCGGCTTTCAACTCACTTTGTAGCCCAGGCTGGCCTCGAACTCTGAAGCAATCCCCCTCCGTCAGCCTCCCAGTGCTGGGATTGCAGGGATGCACCTGATCCTTGGGGATACTTTGTGAATGTTGTAAACCCAAGCTCCCCTCCGCTGGCGAGCAGGGCCCAACAACCCACCGTGACCCTGGGGTGGAGCTGTCTCAGAGTTGAAGATGTATCTGAGTGAACATTGTCTGGCAGCCCGGTCTTCTTCATCCAGAGAAACCTGCTGTCCAAGAAAGCATCAGGAAAGTCTGGACAAAGACGTGTTTCTCATGCTTGTCCCTGTGCTTGCCGTGACTGCAGATCCTGGAGAACCTGGAACAGGGCCTGGCAGAGGACGGGGGCCTGAGCAGTGTCACCCTGGAGAGCAGGCAAGGTGAGCAGCCCCTCTGGCAGGTGGGTGGGAGCTGTTGATGTCAACAGCATCGTCCCTCCAGTGTCGCCACTCTTGGCTTCTGGCTCCTCGTCCTGCAGGGCACCGTCCACTCGCGGTGGCCCACAGCCCCCTTCCCAGCGGGCCAGCCTGGTGGCTGCGCTGCAGGGAGCTGGAGCCCCTTGTCCAGTGAGGTGCCCAGCCCTGGCCTCCGAGAGGCCCTCTTGCTGCCTCTGACCTGGCAGGTGTCACAGGGCCCCTCCCTCTCCTGTAAAGCCACTAACGCCATCGCAGGGAACCTTTAGGAATCCTCTGCTCCCAGAGGCCTCACCTCCAGACTCCATCTTCATGTGCCCTTGGGGATTAAGTTCTCCAAACGTGAACTTTGGGGGCCCTTAAGCCACAGCTGGCGCCCCAGGTGCAGCACAGCAGCAGGGCGGCTCCGAGCTCAGCTGTCCTCACTCGCCCCTCCCCTGGCCCTTGGCCCACGGCTCCTCCCAGCTGGAGTCTGGCCTGGTAAACCCGAGGGCCGGGTGGCACACTGGGACGGTGGGACTCGGGGCTGTGGGGAGAGACGCGTGTAGGACGGAGCTGCCGGCCCCTCGGACGCCCTGGTCTGGTCTGTGCAGGTGGGGAGGGGCACAGGGTGCAGGGAAGGCAGGGAGGCTGTGTTCCTAACCCCTCCGTGACCTCTGGTGAGCACAGGGAAGCAGGGTCCCTGTCCAGGGGGAGCTGCCCCGAGGACCCGGAGCTGAGCTGACTGTGGAGCTGCCCCTTCCCATTCTGCCACCCACTTTCTAGCCCCTGTCTTGGCCTGAGTCCTGATCAGATCCCTCTGTTTTTTCATTTTTGGTTATTTTGACACAGAATCTCACTATGAATTTCATGCTATCCTTGCCTTGAGCTCACTATATAGCCCAGGTGGGCGATCCTCCTGCCTCAGCCTCTCAGTGCTGGGATGGCAGGCTGGATGATGTGCCTGGCCTGTGTGAGGGTCCCTCTTAAAGGAGTGGACACAGCCCAGGACCAGGAGTCACGGGTCACATGATATCTCTGCACTCTGGGCCTCAGCCTCATTTTCAACACAACATAAACCCTGGAGCCACGTGAGCCCCAACCCAGGCCTTACCCTGATGCCCTCGTGGTGGTCAGCTGCCCTCACTCCGCAGCTGCTAGGGCCCCTTCCAGACTCCAGGAGCCATGGACAAGGTGAGCCTCAGAGGCTTGGGGTCGGTGGAGGACACCAGCAGCCCAGGTGCCCCAGGAGAGAGCAGAGAGCTTCTGTTTCCGGTTAAAAGACGAGGGCCCACGTCCAGGAGGGGTGGTCCCTTTCCCAGGTCAGAGCCAGCCCCAGGGAGAAACCCACTGCCCCGCAGAAGGGCTGCCCAAGACCACCCCGGGGCACCTGCAGCTCCAGCTCCGGCTGCAGGCCCTGCGCCCCGACCTGGAGTCCTGGCCGCTCTGGGCCTCTGCCCGGTCCTTCCTGGGTCCTCCCCCTCGGCTGTCTCTTCCTCACCCCGTGGGGCTGTGGCCGCAGGGGATCCAGGTCCTCACACTCACAGCCGGCCTCTGTCTCCGCAGCGTCCGTGCAGCTGTGGCGGGCGCGCCTGGGCCGGGTGCTGTACTCCATGGCCAACTGCCTCCTCCTCATGAAGGTGGGTGGGCGCCCCAAGCTTCAGGGGTGCCGGGGCTGTGGTGGCCCTGGAAGGACGGGCATGAGCTGAACTGCCTGCCGGGCAGGGCCCAGGGACACTGCAGCTGCTAGGGGCTTCTCACAGAGAGCAGGGTTAGCGTAACAAGTGTCACCCTGCAAGCCCGCTCTAAATGATTCCATTGGAACCAGCCCCTCCCCGCGTGCCGCCCAGAGCGGTGCCCTTTGAGGTGCGTCTTTCCTCATCGCCTCTGATCTTACCCGAGCCCTGGGCCCCAGCAGCCAAGACACTGCCGCCCGGCCTGCTCCGCCCGGCTGCCAACTGCAGGCACAGGTGCCCCGCAGGAATCCCAGGGCAGTGGGTTCGCACCTCGAGGCTGCTCCACAGAGCACAGCTCCTCCTGCCTCGCAGTTCCTGGGCTGCCCAAGGTCACTGCCGAGCTGCTGCAGAAGTGTGCTCCTTTGCGGCCCGCAGAGGGCCGGGGGTGCAGAGCAGAAGCCGGAGCAGAAGCAGGGGCAGGAGCACGCAGGCCATGACCTCTCGCACCCCCACCTGCCCCAGCCCGTCCCCCGAGGAGAGACCCCGCCTCCTCACGCGCCAGACAAAGGAGAAGGGGCCGGCCGACCTCCACTCCTTGGCAGCTGTCTCCCAGGAGGACGGCTGTGCCCGCTGGGCCGCGTGGCTCCTCCTCCACCTCTCCCCCGTGCCACCCCTTGTCCTGCTGGTCCTCGGGCCTGGGCACCTCTCCCGGCAGCCCCGGGCCGCGCTCCTGTCCTCACCCTCCAGAGCGCCCCATCTGTCCCCCCGCCGCTGTGGCCACCCCAAGTCCCGCAGGCTGAGCCGGCCTGGCCGCTGCCCCGCAGCTCCCTGAATTCCAGTTGCCAGAACTGTTAGGGAGAAATGCAAGACAAATTACAGATCGCACGGCCGGTGCTGCGTGAGTCCTGAGCAGGCCCTTGGAGAGAAGCAGCCTGCCTGCTGCCCGGCTTCGCCTTGTATCTTTAAGATGCACTCGTGGAAAATGACGGGACAAAGTGTTTTCCTGGTTGTACAGCAGCAGTGATGACCCCAGGCACCAAACCTAAGGTCTCTACCTATTGTTGGGACTCAGAACAGAACACGTGGTTGTACTTTAAAAATACTTTCACTGTGGCTGGCTTTGAAATTGCAGTTAAAGGAGTGAAAAATGTCGCGGGAAGAGCTGGTCCCAGCACGTGCGCGCCTCTGCCCTCTAGCAATCCCGCGCGGTATTGCAACTGCGGTGGTCATTTCATTCCCTGCGTGGCTAACAATGGCTTATTTCACAAGCCAGAGCCGTTTATTTGGAAGAGCATCTCTTTTACAGGGAAGTCAATTTCCATTAGCTTTTTAATGATGAGAAATCCACTCATCTGCCCCAGCCCCCAGAATCCACATGATGTGCCGTGAGGTGCCCTCACCCCGAGACCCCACCCCGTCCTGCCTGTCACCCCACCTGATAGCCGTAAGGTGCCACGCAGGCGCCCCGGGGACAGAGTTCTGAGCGCAGATCCCCTCCTAGTCAGCAGGGCATGCCTGGCCCCACTCTGCCCCCCCCCCGCTCCCAGGCCGCGTGTCCCCTAAGTACACTCCGCCTGTGACGTGTGCCCTGTCCATGTCCTGCAGGAGTACGTGCTGGCCGTGGACGCCTACCGTGCCGTCATCCAATACTACCCTGATCAGGAGCCGCAGCTGCTGAGCGGCATCGGCCGCATCCTCCTCCAGGTACCAGGCAGCAGCTCCAAACAGGCCACAGTGGGCTGACAATCCTCGAGGGGCCCCACGCCTGCCAGGGTCCACCTGCTTCGGGCTCCTGCTGGCTAGGACACCATGGGGAAGCCAGGGGCTCCGCACAATTGGACGTGCACCGGGGTGGAGAGCTTTAGGCATGGTACCAGCAGTTAGAAAAGTCCGGAACAACCATGAAAAATTATTTAGCCAGGCATGGCAGTGCACAACTGTGATCCCAGCTCTCTACTCTGGGAGGCTGAGGCAGGAGGAGGGCAAGTTGGAGCCCAGGATGGGCAATTTAGTGATTAGTGGGACCCTGTGTCAAAATAAAAAATAAAGGGCCGAGGATGTAGCTCAGTGCGAAGGCCAGGGGTTCAGTTCCTCAGAAAGAAAGGGGGAGGCCCCAGGTATGGTGGCACAAGCCTGCAATCCCAGCACGCGGAGACAGAGGCCAGAGGATTGCCGTGAGTTCGAGGCCAGCCTAGGATACCTAGTGAGTTGAGACCAGCCTGAATTGCGCAGCAAGACCTTGTCTCAAAGAAAAGCAAAAGAGGGGTGGGGAGGGAGGCTGCCTCAGCCTCACTAGTGCTGGGATGACAGGTGTGCGCCACCACACCCAGCCGTCACTGTATTTCTACTTAATTTGTCTCAGAGGACACAGAATCCTAGGCTGTGAGACCTCAGAGCAGATGCACCTATTAACTGCTGAGGTTCTGCCAGGAAGGTGCCATCCTCCGCACCTCAGATGCCCCCTGCCTTCTTAGCAGGCTGATCACAGATGGCCACTGCGGGTCCTCTGCCTGGCCTGGCCTAGGGCGCGGCAGCGGGGTGCGCTTAATTCCCTTTGTGCCTGTCCGCCAACCTGACTGGGTCGTTCTGTCAGAGCAGATCGGAGACATAAAAACAGCCGAGAAGTATTTCCAAGACGTGGAGAAAGTCGCGCAGAAACTGGACAGGCCGCAGGGTAAAACCATGGTTCTGATGAACAGGTAAGTATTTTACAGTGGACTCAGGTCTCTCAGTCACTCCCATGGGCCTTGCTGTGCCTGGGAAATGCATCCCTGCCCGGGCCTGTGCTGGAGCCGAGGCCCAGGAGGCGCACGGGCCCCTCCCTTCCATGTCTGCCAGCCCCGTGCGCAGCATGTAGGTGTAGACGGCCATGCTGATGCTGGGGCCACTGGTTCCGGTGACCCCGCCCAGGGCAGGGCAGGGGAGGCTGGAGTCAGGTGCCCAAGTGTGCAGCTCACAGCCTTCGGTCTCCTGCATTCCAGGGCCTTCTTGCACCTCGGCCAGAACAACTTCGCAGAAGCCCACCGGTTCTTCACGGAGATCCTCAGGTTGGACCCCGCCAATGCAGTGGTAAGATGCCCCGCCACAAACCAGGCCCCTCAGGACCTATGGCCTTAGGAGCACTTTGCAGACAATAGAAATATGTGCTCCAGAAATCAAAGCCAAACCAGCCATAGTGGTGCACACCTGTCATCCCAGCACTTGGGAGGCTGAGGGAGGAGGATTCCCCAGAGTTCTAGGCCAGCTTAGAGCTACATAGTGAGTTCAAGGCCAGCCTGAACTACATAGCAAGAACTTGTCTCAAAAAGAATGGATAGGGCCGGGATTTAGCTCAGTGGTTCTGCCACCTGCCTCACAAGCACAAGGTCCCGAGTTCAATCCCTGGTACCAAAAAATAAAAAAAGGATGAATATATAAAAAGAAAAAAGAAAAGGATATCTAAGCCAGACCAGGACACCCTGGGATGATGGGACGGGCATCCCCGAGCAGCCCCTCTCTTGCAGGCCAACAACAATGCTGCCGTGTGCCTGCTGTACCTGGGCAAGCTCAAGGACTCACTGCGGCAGCTGGAGGCCATGGTGCGGCAGGACCCAAGGCACTACCTGCATGAGAGCGTGCTCTTCAACCTCACCACCATGTATGAACTGGAGTCCTCACGGAGCATGCAGAAGAAGCAGAGCCTGCTCGAGGCTGTGGCCAACAAGGAGGGTGACAGCTTCAACACACAGTGCCTCAAGCTGGCCTAGGCCCTGGGTATGAGCCACACTGGGACAGTAAAGGCCCTTCCCCTGGTGTCCAGGAGCATCTCTTACGTACATGTGTGTGTGTGTGTGTGTGTGTGTGTGTGTGTGTGTGTGTGTGTGTGTGTGAGCACGCGCATGCACACAGTACTAGGGAGTCAGCCCAGGGCCTCCAGAGCTCCTGTCCTGGCTAAGTCTCTAAATTGCCCAGGCTAGGCTCCAATTTATAATCCTCCTGCCTCAGCCTCCCAGAGTGTAGGGATTACAGGTCTGTCACCATGCCTGGCCCCTGGGTGAGATGTAGCTGAGATAGGAAATCCACTCAAAGAAACAGAAGAGCCACAGACATAAGTTATTCTTGCCTTTTGCATTTTTCCCCATCACACTCCAACATGAGGAAATGCCCAGTTCTGCTTCCACACTGACACCCTGTAATCTGCAGCTTGGGGAGGGTCTCACAGGACCCTGAGTCATCAGAGCAAGCCTCAGAGCAGACGCTGTGTCTCTTCCCTTTCACCCTGACATAGGGAGACATAGTTAATTATTTTTTGTACTTTTCACTGTGTAAATCCTAAAATTATTCCAAGTTGCCACAACTTTGTACACAATACACTCTCAAGAAAACAGCTTTCAAAAAAATGACTTGCAGGGCACATCTGAATTTAACATTCAGAATCTGGATAACAGGAGCCAGGTTCATCACTCATCCTTGTTCTTCCCCATGGGCCGCCCACTTCCTCCTCCGCCCCCGACAACGTCCTGAGTTCTGCCATGCACCAGGCGCTGGAAAATGACTCCGAGTCCGAATAGTTAAACCATCCTCCTCATGGCCATCACTGGCGAGATGTTTTAATGATTCACAATGCACAGGAACACAGCAGAGCCCTCCGTGTGCTCAGCAGAGGCCTGCTCTTCACAAACCACGGAGCCCAGTGAGCACAAGAGCTTCCTTCCAGTCACTGGAGCTGCATCAGGAAAATGAGCCAGGTGTGGTGGCTCACACCTGTCATCCCAGCACTTGGGAGGCTGAGGCAGGAGGATCACCTCGCGTTTGAGGCCAGCCTGGGGCACACAGTGAGACCTTGTCTCAAAAAAGCAAAGCAAAAAGTGAAGAACAAAATGCCTGATGCTGCGATGGTTCCTGAGGAAAAAGCACCAAACTGACAGCAGGGTCCACCTCTCTGTAGCCACTGGGGGGCTACATTGTCTGCTCTTTCCAGGGGATCAGGCAAGAAGGTCGGGGAGCCTTGGCAGCCCTTCCACACCCACATCCAGACCTGGCAGGGACCCCTGGAGCCTGCTGCAGGTCTGGCGGACGTGCGGCTCCACCACCTGGGACAGCATGACTCCACGTTTGCAGCCACGCCTGGGTTTGTGTCATTGCTGGTGGCTGGTTTCCCTGAGCCTGCTGAGCCTGAGGGAGCAGGGTGGGTGCACCAGTGTGGAGAGGAGGTGGGAGGTGGCAGCAAGGCCGAGGAATGGAAGCCCCAAAGGAATCTGCTGGGCAGAGCCAGAGCCGTGTGTGAGGGAGCCCAGGTCACAGGTGAGCTCTGTGACTCCGCTTGACACCATCAACACCATCATACACTGAAGTCCTGTTTCAATCCCAGTACGGAACTTGGTAGCTCTGTTCACTTTTAACTTTTTTGGCAGTGCTGGGGATGAAATCCAGGGCCTTAGGCATGAGCTCTGTCTCGAGCTACTCCCCCAGCCCCAAGGCCAAAGTGGACATGATAATTGATGATGTGGTCCCCCATACCTCATACTAGGAGTTGAATGCAGGGCCTTCCCTCAGACCTAACAACCCCAGCCCTTTTGAGACAAGGTCTCACCAAGTTGACCAGGCTGGGGTGGAATGTGTGATCCTCCTGCCTCAGCCTCCCAGAGTGCTGGGATTACAGACCTGTGCTACCATGTCCAGCTTTGATGTGCATTTTAACAGGAATCGTTTTCATACAGTTTTTAAAAATATACGAAGAAAATTACATGCCCCTCTAAAAGATGAAGCTGATTGGGGTTTTCCTGTTCTGAGACAAGGACTTGCTTGACCAGCCTTACCCTGAACTCCAGATGCTCCTGCCTCAGCCTCCAAATGCTGGGATTACAAGTGTGCACCACTACGACTGGTGGACTGTTTTCCTGTGATTACAGCAAGCTAGGCACAACTGCATCTCCATATTTGTGTTTGTGTGTGAGAGATGTGGGTTGGAAGCTACGTCTCCCACAGGCCAAACACTGTGCACCCCGATGTCCCCATGCCCCCGATTCTGGGTAGAAGAACAGTTACCTGTCTTACAATTTATCTGTGAAAGGATGTAGAACTCTTACCCTGGACAACACAGGTGACAGCCATTAGCTATGTACACACAGGCAAACAAGCATGGAAATATGGGTGTTGATGCCATATTACAGGGAATGGGAAAGGGGATGTTACCAGAGACTTGAGAAACTGAGTCTTGCGCTGATCTAAGCTGCTCTGGGCAGCAAAGACAAAGGACTCCCAGGACATCCAGTGTTTATTCATTACAAGTATGGGAAAGGGGGAAGCTGGACAGGGCTTGGGTTACCTGCTGATAACAAGGATCAGGCAGGAAGAACTGGAAGTGAGGGCACAGCCTATCTGTGCTGAAGAGAACAGACAGTTAATTCAGAGGGGAGGATTTAGCTGGAGTCAGTTGACCTTGACTGGGAGTGAACTCAGCGGACTGGACTTCCAATGTAACAGCTAAATTATGGGGGGGCGGGAAGTGTCTGCTATACCATACCTACAGAACTCGAGCAACTCCAGGCTGGTGCATAATTAAGGCAATGACTTTACTGAGACAAGGACGGGGCAGGAGAAGCCCAAGTTTGCCCTCCCCACACCAGCTGCAGGCCATGGATGCCCACGCACCACTCAGCAGCCATGCTCTGAGCCAAAGTTTGTACTGAGGCACAGAGCAGTGCTGGTACCACCCGGGGCTCCTGCATCCTGGTCTTGATTAATCAGAGAAGATCATGGTGACATCAGGATTTCCAGTTGCTTCGAGTGAAAATCAGCTGATTAAAAATATTCTGATCAGATCATCATGTAGAGGAACAGAAGTGGGTCTCCACAGCACAGTTCCAGGCAGCTATGCTGTCTGCTCCAGGAACTTAACATACTGCTCCCGGGCAGAGAAGTGCTCAGCCGGCCGGTTGTACGCTGTCCACACTGGCTCGCCCACGAATAGCCGCATTGCCTTCACGTAGTTCTAGGAAGCAGACAGAGGGGTGAGAGCCTCAGTCAGCAACACCAGCACTACCCACAATGGTCAGGAGTGGCCCACTCCAGCTAAGGGGACCCTTGCCTGGCCTCGCTGGTGGCTGGAGCCCGCATGTCTGTCCCCACTAAGGATCGGGTCAGCTGTGCATGTGAGCCCCGCCCCAGCCTCACAGGTGCCCTGGCATCTTCTCTGTCCTCGGAGTCCAGCTCTCCTGAGAACTAGCACTGGAGCCAGGTATGGTAGCACGTGCCTATGATCCCAGCACTCAGGAGGCTGAGGCGGGAGGATCACTGCAAGTTCAAGGCCAGCCTGGACTACATAGGGAGATGCTGTCTCAAAAAACAAAAACAGGGCTGGAGATGTAGTTCAGTGGCACTGCACCTGCCTGGCAAACAAGGTCCTGAGTTTGATCCCCAGTACCCCCCAAAAAACTACATAAATTGCATATTTATCCAAATCACATCAACAGCACCAAGAGCTATCTTTTCTCTGTGTTTGGTGCCAATCCCCATTACTATATTCTACTGTTAGGGGCCAAAAGCAACAGCATAGCCGCTGTATAGCACCACACACCTATGGCCCCACGGACCCAGGGGCAGTGTAGCTGGGAGAAGCTCTTGGGGCTGGGCCAGGCAGAGCAGGGGCAGGAGAGGCAGGGGCAAGAGGGGAGGAGGGATTGGGTGGGGGGAGGAGGAGCAGGAAGAGGGCAGGCAGGCAGGGCAAGGCAAGAGGAACTAGGCCAGGCACTGTCTTGCCGCCCTGGGCACCCTCACTGGCTTGCAGGCTGGGACTACAGAGCAGGGCAACATTGTCTGCCCACGGCCCTCCAGGTCCTGGGCTGGTGGCCCCTTCTGGGAGCAGCTGCAGGCCCCATGCCCTCTGAGCTCACAGGCCGTGGGTCTCCAGTGGCCCAGCTGCGGTCCCTGCTCTCTGGGAAGTGTGGCCAGCACTGTTCCCATGGAGAACGTGGCAGGCAGCACTACCTTCTCGTCCAGTGTGAAGCGGTGGTAGATGCCGGCTGGCAGGGTGATCATGTCGCCCTTCTCCATGGAGATCCGGATCCACCTGTCCTCCTTGTCCCTGACATCGAAGTACCCGCTGCCATCCAGGATGTAGCGGATCTCCTCGTCCAGGTGCAAGTGCTCCGTGTAGAAGATCTGGATCTGGGGAGCAGGGGTCCCTGTGAAGCAGGGAAGGAAGGGTCTGGCCCCACAGTGACTGCCTCACACAGCCACAACCACACTGTCCGTGGAGCCGCTGAGGGTCAGGCGGGGACAGAGCCACACAGGGCAGAGGCAGGAGGCTTCCCAGGGCAGATCCACAGAAAAGCCGGAGCCTTCTATAGTGAAAGCCATGCCCTTCATCGGGACTGCGCCTCAGGGTCCCTCCCACCCCCCCGGGACTGTTAGCATCTCCCAGCTGCACCTGGGTGTTTGGAGTCTTCCTACCTAAAGGTTACAAGTTTCTGGCCAGGTGTAGGGGTACATGCATGTAATCCCAGGGCTCTGGCAGGCTGAGGCAGGAGGACCACAAGTCTAAGCCCAAGCCTGAGCTAATCAGTGACTCAGGGAGACCTTGTCTCAAAATAAAAAATTAAAAAAGGGCTGGGGATGTAGCTCCATGTGAAGGCCTGAGTTCCATCCCAGCATTGCAGAGAAAAAAAAAAAGCATCCCATGTCTGGAAAAGCTTAAATGTCTGGAAAGTCGGTCCTTATAGGACAAAGGACACGGACCCCTCCCTGGGATTCGGGTTTCACCCCATGGGATCTGTTAGAAAGGCCGTGGGACAGGAGGGGGCCTCGACGTTCTGCATGGTTTTGGGAGCCACATCCACCCAGCAGGGCTGAGCACAGCAACACAAACAAGGTCACGCAGGCTGTCCTAAGCACTGCCATGGCTGCCAGGAAGTAACAGAGATGAGGAGCACCAGGTGCAGGGGCACAGTGTGGGGTGCAAGTGCCTTTCTGTACAGTTCTGACTTCAGAACCTGCTTATGCTTTACCAAGTCATACTCAGGAGGCTGAGGCAGGAGGATCACAAGTCCAAGGCAAGCCTGGGCTACGCATTGAGACCATGTCTCAAAAAACCAAAACCGTAATTAAGAAACAAAGAAGAAAAAAGTCTTCAAACCAGTGACCTCAGCTTCCACCTCAAGAAATTAAGAGAAAAAAAGAGCAAATTAAACCCAAAGTACAAAGAAGGAGACAAAGATCAGAGCAGAAATCAATTTTTAAAAAAATCAATGAAGCCAAAGTTCTCCATGAGGATCAATGAAATCAGTGAGCCGCCAGCCAGGGCCAGCAGAGGAGAAGACACGGGCACCAGATCGGCGCCAAGGGGCTGCCACTCCGCCTCAGAGCCACATGAAGAAGCTAACGGGAGAGAAGGGGCTTCTGGGCCCCTCCCGGCCGGCCTCACCTTCTTCTCAAAGTCGGGCAGTTTGTCCCTGCAGATGGTGATGATGTCCATCCAGGAGTAGCTCCGGTCCCTGCGGATCTGCGCCAGCACCGGGTCGGACTCGTACTTGTCAGCATCCAGCTGCATGGGCAGGTGATGAAGGGGAGCCCCGTTAACATGAAGGGACGTGAACCCCTCTCTCAGGACCCCCAGCATGATTCCATCCAAACACACACCCATTCCTCTTTGACATTTTTACTGTTTGTTTGCTTGCAGTACTCTGGGCTGAACCCAGGGCCTTATACTGGCTCCACCCCCAGCCCTATTTAATTTCTTTTTGAGACTAGAGCTGGACTTGAACTTGCAATCCTCCTGCCTCAGCCTGCCGGAGTGCTGGGATGACGGGTGTGTGCCACCACGCCTGGCTTCACTTATTCCTTTGCCAGCTCTAAAGCTGCCCTCCTTCGCGTCCTCTCCTCACTTCCGCCTCCGAGGAGCAATCAGGGATGTGGAGCTCTGCCCCTCCCTGCAGCTCCCTTCTTGGTCCCTGTCACCTGACTGACTGGCCAACGACACTGCTCTCTCCTGTGGCCCATTCCTCTGCACCTCTGCTGAGGAGGAGTCTCACTGCCACTGGGCCGAGGCTTGGCCACAGGGTGTCCCTGGGCTGGGCATCAGGGCCCCCAGCCCACACAAAAGCTCAAGTTCACCAGGCTGGGACAAAAGCACATCTGTCCTGTGGACCCAGGAAACTTTTCTACTTCTCTCTTCCCCTCCCCACCGATTTTAAAAGAAATCTACACTCTAGAGCTGGGGATGACGGCGCAGCGCAGACCTGTAATGCCAGTGCTCAAGAGGCTGAAGCAGAAGGAACGCTGTGAGTTCGAGGCCAGCCTGGGCTACACGGTGAGCTCAAGGCCAGCCTGGACCTCATAGCGAAACCCTGGTTCAAAAAAAGAAAGTTAAAAAAAAATGCTCTGATCAGTTCCTACTGCTAAACAAAGGGCAGGGGACAGCCTTTGGCACTGAGCACCTGACCTGAAACAGCACAGACTGGCTCTACATTCCACAGAACCAAAGTGAAACCAGAGAAGCAGATCGACCCCAACACTAGTGTTGCCTAAAAACAGGAAAGTCCAGGCTACCTGAGCAGCTTAGAAACCGCCTTCCGCCTTGGCACTCACAGAAAATAACCTGAAGTAACCGGACCCAAACCCCCAGCCTACCGGCCTGTGATTCCCTCATCCCACCTTGCGGCACCCGCTCTTCGGCCAACACGGTTGGGAGCTTCCGTGTTTGAGGGACTGGTTCCCAGACAGGGGTGCACACACACGCGCACGCACACATACACAAACACTCTCACGCCTGTGCGTCCCTGGTATAGAGGTCCCATGGGTGAGCTCTTCCCCTCACACGGGTCGAGGTCACTTTTCAAGGACTGACGTCCTCTTTTGTTGGAACGACAGTCTTCACTGGGTCCTGCACAGGGTCCACTAGGTGACATTTTACTGTTTTCAGACAGGGTCTCGCCATGTAGTTCCGGTTGGCCTCGAACTCGAAGCGATCCTCTGCCTCAGCCTCCCGAGTGCTGGAATTACAGGCCCTGGCTGGGTGACCTTTTAATATCAGAAGGGCAGACACTCCACTGTCGGGTCACATTAGCACTGAGTTCGTCCACACCTCTCACCCTCTGTCCCACAAACACCCCTTACCGATCTGCTCCTCCCAAGCCCAGCTGCCCTGGCGGGGTCCCGGGCCGGGCCGGGCGGCGCGCAAAGCGGGTCTGAGTGTGGTTTGCTCGGACCGCAGTCACTAAGACACCAGTCAAGAGACACACTGAAAGGATGGCTCTGATCAGCTATGGTGGCACAGGCATGTAATCTGTCTCAGGTAAGAGTCCAGAAGCAGGTCCCCAGCCCAGCGTGGTGACGCACGCCTGTCATCCCAGCACTAGGGAGGCTGAGGCAGGAGGACTTCGAGCTAGAGTTCCAGTTGGGCAACTTAGTAACTTACAGAGGCCCTGTCTCAACATTAAAGAGGTCTGGGAGCGCGGCTCATCTCGCTACCTAGTACTGCAGAGAAGGGCTGCCTCCAGAGCGGGCCCTGCCTGCACTCCATCTGACCCAGGGAAGCACAGCAGCTGGAGGCAGAACCAAACAGACGCAGGCGCCCAACCCGGCCTGCGCATGCGCAGAGCGGCCCGGACCGGAGGCCGCGGCACCCCACCACCAGCGCCGTGCAGCGCACGCGCCATGCTCCGGCCGCGGGAGAGGGCCATCGGGCGCAGCAGCCCCGCGCACCTTCCAGTAGAGCACGCCGAGTCTGCGCAGCTGCTCCAGGCTCACTGGGCGGTCGGTCTCGAGACGGTGAGGCAGCCGTGGGTCGTCCGCGGACTCGTCCATGTACCAGGCCTGCACCATGGCGGCGACTGGGCTTCGCGGGGGAGAGCAGCAGGGACCGGCGGGTAGTAGCCTGGGGCGGGGAGGGGCGGGGAGGGGCGGGGCAAGTAGGAAGGCCGGGAAGGTGCTGGGCTGCCTGGGGGCGGAGCTTCCCCAACCGGCCGGGCCGCTGGACTGGGAAGGGGCGGGGCGCCTCTGCCAGCCGGCCCCGCCCTCGCGGTGCTCCAGACGGATTCCGCGTCCCACCCGCGTTTCCTGCAACCCGGAGCTGCAAACTCGGTGCTGTGCCCGTGCGGTCCCTGCAGGACCTGCCCAGCTACGTTCTCGCTGCGTGCAATCCTCCTGCCTCGGCCCCGGCCCGCCGGAACAACAGGGGTGCATCACCACGTCGGCACAGCTGTTTCAGAGGACCCTGCCAGCCAGGCTAGGGAACCAGGCCTGCCTGCAGGGAGAAGAGCCTCACCCCTCTGTGACCCGCCACTGGCCTTCCCTGCTCACCCTTGCGTCGAAGCCCCGGGGTCCCTGGCTGGCCCTTACATTTATCCATCTTGGGCAGCTGGGCTTACACACAGCCTGGGGTAGGGACGCGGTCCTCCGGTCCCATTTTCCAGCTCACTGACCATTAGCGTGAAAACAGGCAGCCAAGTCTAGATTCTGGAACATCACACAGACGCCCAAGTCCTTCAAGGGATGCAGTGAGGACAGGGCGGAGGGGGGTTGCAAAGCAGGGAGACCAAGGCACAAATCAGGCCAATAGGACGCACAGGACAAACCCAGCGGCACCCCGGAAGTGCCTCCTGTGGTCCAGAAGGAAGAGGTGGCTGGAGGGGCCTGAGCGGGAAGGGGGTCACTGGCCACACAGCGGTGACTCCAAGAGGGCACAGCTGCCATCTTGCTTTTATTTTATGCAAAAACATTTAAAAACACATTACGTCCAACGTTGTCTTAAAAATAATTCATGAGCTTAAAACTAAAGAGATAAAAAAAGATCGTAGACTGATTGACGCCCCTGGTCTTTAACTGGTGCCCCGCCCTCCTCCTGCCCTGCTGGCAAAGGCGCCTGCAGTCCTTCCGGACCCGCCTGTCCGCACCGCACTGTATTTTGCTTGATGACACGGTCTCACTGCACAGTTCAGGCTGGCCTCAAACTCGTTCTGGAATTATGCCATAGGTGTGCACCACCACGCCCAGCAGTACGAGGGACTGAACCAGGGCCTTTCCACAGGGCTACTTCCCCAACCTTTTCTCTTTTCTTATTTACCCATTTTTTTTGAGACAAGGTTTGCAAAGTTGCCCAGGCTGAGCTCAAACTTGTGATCCTCCTGCTCAGCCTCCCAGAGTGCTGGGATTACACATGTGTGCCACCATGCCCGGTTCCAATGTTTTATTTTTACTGTTTGCTTATTTAAATCAAAGCTCAAGCACTTTGGGCCAGGCTGCATGGAAACAGAGAAGAGTGTCAAGCCCAATAAGCACAGCACCGACACCTCCCATGCATCCTGTTAAGCAGTGTCCCGCTGTGTCTGGGGGCCGAGGTGCCCTCGCTCAGTGGGAAGCTAGCTGCATCACACAGCACACACTGGGGGCCACAGGTCCCCGCAGCCCTGGCTCCCAAGTCCTGGGTCCTGGGCGACCCCGCTCTCTTCAGACTGCCGGGCGCCTTCTCTCGCCAGCCTGTCCGCCTCCTCGTTGCCCGTGAATCCAGAGTGGCCAGGAATGTGCATCTGCCAGACAAACGTTCACAATTATCTGCTCGTCGGGCAGTGCATGGCCGCACTCACTGTCCCCAGCGTGGGCCGAGCACACACAGAGGGCACAGCTGCCACTGAGTCTCTGGTGGCGACATCGCGGACACCAGGCAGCGCTGGTCTCCCACTGCACACGGAGACTGGGCAGCCCCCAGGTAGACCGCGGGAGGGGCATCTCCACGGCCCGCACTTTAGTCTCCAAAGAACAGATGTGGCCTGGCACTCGGCAGGCCAAGGCAGCAGCACCACGAGCTGGAGCCAGCCGGAGCAGCACAGGGAGACCCGGCTCAAACACACAGAAAGTAAGGAAAAAGACAGAAAAGGGCCGGGGCCGGGGCTGGAGCTCGGTGGTAGTGTCCCTGGGTTCAGGCTCCAGTGAGTGAACAAAGCCCAAGAGAAAAGCCCCGGTATTGTTCAAGGCCAAGGGAATCAAATGTGTTCGGTGCACAGCACAGCGCTCCCTTGTCAGAGTCCTCTCCCCGCACCGAGGAGCCCGCACTCACCCACTGGATGTCCATGCCCCGCGTGAGCCCCTCCAGCCGCATGAAGTCCTCCTTGTTGATCACCTCCTTCCCCGTGCTTGTCCTCCACCCGTTCTTCTTCCAGCCCGGTACCCAGCTCGTGATCCCTAAACACACACAGCTCGTCGGGGGGGCATCGGGGCTGCACCCCACCCCTCCCCTACACCCCAACTGCGATGTCACTGCTCCTGCCTGAGGGTCCCGACCTGCCGCACCTCCCGGCCCCCTGTCCCAGACAGACCAGGCGTCAGCTGTGACCAAGCCCTCTAATCCCTCCCCAGGACTGGGCCCTCAGCCGAGGACTCGCGCTCACCGTTGATGGTGAACATGCTGTCTGTGTACAGCACCAGCTTGCTGATGTTCTGGGCCCTGGCCTGCTCTATGGCTTTGCAGGCTGCCTGGGGAGACGGAAGGGTGGTCAGGTGGACAGCAAGCTCCACTCCAGGTGCCCCTTGGCTCACAGTGACCCCGAAGCTAGAACACCATGGCCTTCCTGCACGCTTGGTCCTTTATTCTCTACAGTGCTAAACACTGCTCCTGTTGCCACCTACTTGAAATAAGATTTTAAATTTCCTCCAGAAAATTCCCATCTTCAGAATTTTTAAAACCCAAATTTTCTTTGGAACTTAGTATGTCCCATACATATGGATAATAAGATAAGGAAAAAATGGCTGAAGTGCTCATGGTCAACCTGAGGAAGGATAAACACACGTTTATGAGATTACTTACATGGATTTCCGCTCTCTGGTTGGTCTGTCGCCCAGGAAGTCTGATGCCTACATTCCTGTTTCAAAATGGAACAAAAGAAAATCATAAAGTTAAGTCTTAAAGCAGCTCCAGTCAATGGAAACAACAAAGTAGTGTGTTCTTTTCTTTTTTGTTGTTGTTGTTTTCTGAAAGACAAAAGCTTCATTGCAGAAACACAGCCTTTCAAAGTTAAAGTGAGTGACAGCACGGAGTGGTGGCGCACATCTGTCCTCCCATCACTCCAGAAGCTGAGGCAGGAGGATCACTGTGAGCTAAAGGCCAGCCGGGACTACACAGTGAGAGCCTGTGTCAAAGAAAAAATAAAGTCACAGCGACGATGGTAAGGCTCTGGGGGCAGACGCCTGGGGCGGTGTCACACCCAGGACATGGGCCACAGGCCAAAGGCTACACTAAGGCACTGGGCTGGGTCTCAGGCGGGCGCAAATCCCAGGCACTGTGCCACAGTGGTGCCCTCCCACCAGGGTCTACAGCTCACAGGAGATGTTAATAAGGAACTCTGTAAAGCACGAGAGACGCGGATAGCAGCACCACTGCAGACCGTTTACACCAAGCAGCTGCAGCATGCCTCCCATGGGCACCGGACATAACAGAAACCAAAGGTCAGGGTGGGGCTGGGGCTCCCAGGTCACTTCCCATGCATGCACCAAGTCTCAGGGCCCTGAGCCCTCTACAGGCTCCTCCCAGGGCCTGGTCTAGCTGAAGGACTGCACCTCCCCTCACTTCGACTGCCTCTCACACAAAGTGTCCCTCTAGGCCCCAAATCCTCAGACTCCAGCAACAGGATGGCACCGAGCGGGGCCACCCACCTGGGACCCGGAGGCCCTGTCCCAAGCCACGCGACGCTTAAGCTGGAGGCAGTGAGGGCGCTCTGTGGGAAGCTCTTGGGTAGACAGGGACGCCTAAGAGCAGCCAGGAGAGCGGCACAGTGAAGGACAAGGCTGCTCCCCCAATGCCCAGCCAGCACGCCCACCCACCAGGCTCCCACCACTGCCGGCCACTGGGATGACCCTGCCTCAGCCTTCACACGCTTTGGAATATGACTTGGTGGCTCTCCCTGCCCACTTACAGAGGGTGGCTGGGGCCCCAGTAGACGCCGATGCCTGCTCGTGCCCTCCTCCGCCCGTTACTGGAGCAGCAGCCATCAGTGTAGACTATGATGGAGTCTCCTGTGGAGGGAACAACAGTGCCACTGGGCCAACCCGCTGGGACTGAAGGGCACCTCTAGCAACTGTGAGGGTGGGACTCACACTGTGAGGCACAGGCTTCCGTCTAGGAAAACACGGTCCACTCCTCAGCTGGCCTCTGCTCCGGGCGAGCCTGGCTGCTCCACATTGGAACCTGCAGTGGACCCGGGCTCGAGCCCCATGCCAGAGGGCTTGGGGAAGGCAGTGCTGTCCTCTCCCTACAGCTGGCCAACCGGAAACAGCTTGGCCCACCACTGGCAGCCTCAATGCCTGATGGTCAGTAACCAAATCACAGGTCCCAGTTTGTCTGAAATAACCGCAGGCCTGATCTATAAACAGAGCTGCACCATGTTCACTGGTTCCCCAGAGTTACACAAAATGGCTTCTTCTTGGGAAAACTCTGAACACACACTGATTTCTATGAAAAATGTTGTCTCTATTCTCTATTCCTACATGGAAAAGACAAAAAGGACTTATACAAGTCACCAAACACAACCCATCCTGGAGCTAAAGGTAGAGGAAAAGCCCGTGACCCTCGCTTCTCAGGACAAGGCAGGACATCCTGAGACCAACAAGACAGGGAGGCATGGGGCGGGGGCGGGCGGTGACATGACACAGGCCAGAGCGGCAGCAGGACCTGGGCAGCTCAGCGCCACACCTCCCTGCCTTAGGGCCCTACAGCCCTGCATGCTCATGAAGTACAGGAATGGCAAAATACCGCCGAGTGGTTTTTCATTTGTACTTTACAAAGTGCTTTTCCTAAGAACATTCAAAAGTTTATCAATTCTGCACCATTTGGTCTTTACACTGACCTTGCAGATTTCTTTACTACAAAGAATGACGACAGAAATCCGCTCAAATTTCTCCCTTTTAGAGCAAGAAGGTTTTATACAAACATTCATTCATTTATTCATTGGCACCGGGGACTGAAACCCAGGACCTTTGCACCTAGTTATGTCCCTGATCTTCCCCACCTTTTCTGCTTTTTTGAGTCTCACTGTGTATTCCATGCTGGCCTGCACTCATGATCTGCCTGCCTCGCCACCCAAGTGCTGGAATTATAGGCGTGCACAAGCAGGTCTGGCTATGACTGTTACATGCTCATTCCTCGTCCAGGCAAGACATACCCATGTAAGAAAATGTGTTCCTGCTAATGGGAGGGGCCGGCTCCGTGTTCTGTTTCGAGAGCTTGGCACTCGGCTCTGTGCCTCTGTCTTCACTGTCCTCCAGAGGCTCCCAGAGCCGCTTGCTGGCTTTCACCTGTGATTCCTGTGTATCTTTCTTCCCTGAAAGACAGTGTTTACTCATGAGTCAGAACCAATGCACATAACATGAAATGCTCAAGAATCAGGAATTCCGGGGCTGGGGATTTGGCTCAGTAGTTCCACCTCCTGCTTCGCTAGCACAAGGTCCCAAGTTCCATCCCCAGTACCAAAATAAAGAAAGAAAGAATCAGGAATTCCAGAGCACTGTTTCCTATCACTAAATCAACTTAAACCCCTCTGTATATGGCCCTACAAAAAAGAATGGCTCAGGACTCACCAGTTCATTCCAACATCCTTGAAATTATTCTACATTTTCCAAAATAAGCTTGATATAGACAGGACAACAGCATCAAACCAAATCTGGTTTTGATGGTGACAACAGAGACTCCCTTTACATGTCACAGCCAGCCTGAAAATCCAAGGGGTTCTTTCCCCAGGAAAAACAAAAGCCCACATTCCGTATAGATCAGAGGTGTCCAGGGTTCAGCCTGCTTCCAGCCCCAAATGCTACAATGACATGGATTCCATGTAGAGATTCTCCACACTGACCTACAGCCCCAGCCCCACACAGAATTTTAAAATCTCATGTCCTGTATCAGAATTGCTTTGCTTATTTCAGGGTGGGCATCATCTTGCATATCCCTTAGATTAGGTCTTAAACTTTCAATACTTTCTGTAACACATGAAATTGGAAGAAATTCCAATTGTGTGACGCTGTCCCAAATAAAAAGGAAACAGCGCCAGGGTGCATGCTGTGAAAGGAAGCAGATTCTTCCTTTAAACCACAGCCTATTTGCTCCAATGACAGTATAAGTTTTGGGTTTTTTTTTTAAACATAAGGAATTGGCCAAGCATATTGCCACATGCTGGCCTGGGCTACACAGCAAGACCCTGTCTCAAAAAAAACACAAAGAAAGGTAAGAAATTGTGACCTGCTGAACACACTGAATAGGACAGGAAATCAGGGTCCTTGTCTGTGTCTCCAACACTGTTACTAGCAGGACTCACGATTCTTCAATCTTTATTTATTCTTTAATGGGAAAATGATCCAAAGACATCTGGATAGGAGAGGCTGAGTGGGGTAAAATGTCACACTGACACGAGAGGCAAGTACCTTCTGAGCCATCTGGGCTCGAAGACTTTGTGACAAAGGCCCAGGCCTCATCCTCGGTGGCAAACTTCTTAAATCTGGCAGCAGGAAACCGGTCCACCTGTGCTCTGCATTCCTTCCTGGAAAAGCCCACACATCATTTCTGACCTCTCCCTCTTCAATTTACCTCCAAACACGTAACACTGGGCACGAAAGGATTAACTGATTAAGAGTCTTTTCTTGGGTCAGGAACAGCAGAAAAAGGATGCGCTGTCAGTTCCTTGTGTCAAAGGTTCACACTCTCCAATTTATAGTTTTATTTTACAGGTCAGATTCTACAACTCCTGTCTGTATATCCAGGGAGACAGAACATCAGTGGCATATGGCTTTCCACAAAGTAAAAGCACGCTAAAATCTGGGGGTCCTTGGAAAAAAGAGCCCATTAATCACTTTATCACAGCAAAAGGGCCAACATCTGAGATGCTGACCCTCAGTAGTGTACCTGTGAGGCACAGGGAAACATGCGCACAGGAATAAACCTTGGCATCACAAGGGAAGAGTTCCGGGCTCAAGTTGGGCTTCTGCCACTCACCTGCCTATGAATTTCCTCATCTCGGGGACCTGAGCGTGAAAATGACCCCGGGGGTGTGGTGTTACAGAGTGGGTGTTACAGGGAGCCAATTACGAATGCTACTTCACCAGTTTCCTCACAAACACACACATCCACAGAAGACAGGATTAGGTACAATCTGAGTTCTACTTCCAATTCAGCTGTACGAAAAACCTGGTAATGCTAGTTGGTACTGGTTCTGTATTACCTTTGAGTGCTGTTTGAGTCTCACTATGTAGCCCAGGCTGGCCTCGAACTTAAGGTGATTGTCCTGCCTCAGCCTCCTGAGTGCTGGGATAACGGGCTGCGCCACCTCTGGCTATGTGTTTCCTTTGGGAATTCCTCAATTGCAACAAAGAAGGTCGCTCCCAAACTTCAGTGGCGTTTCTGGCCCGCCAACACTACGAGAAAGTAGGGCCGCGGGCTCCGGGCCTCCAAGCGGAGCGACCCGCAGCCCTGGCACAAGAGGACGCGACGGCCACTCACCAAGTCGAGAAGACCCCGGTCCTGCGGCCCCTCCGCACCGCGTAGAACATCCCCATCCCGCAGCAGCCTTGGCTGTAGCGCACGGCGCCCTGAGCAATTCTGCGAACCAGCGGCGCTACCCGCCGCATCACTCAGCTCCGCGCACGGCGCCGCATTTTGAAGGTCCCGACGAGCCGGGGGAACCGGAAGCACACTCAACCACACTTCCGGCGACGGCGCGAAGGCGATGACGACACAAGGGAGGGCGGGACCCGCTTCGGGTGGGCGGGGCTCACAGGTTCCTGGATGTGACAGAGGGCGGCTTAGCTGAGCCTCCGGGGGATCACAACAGGGTGGGGGTCCCCCTACAGCTGCTCAGGAGGAGACTGTGTACAAGTGAAGGTCGAAAGAGGGCGCGTGGACCCGCCTGGACCTCTGACCTTGGGGTGCGGGCTCGCAGGGGCGGACCCTTTCTGTTCTAAGCGGGCAGCTGACCAGGGCGTGGCCAGGCTTAGTGTACACCTGTAAGTCCAGCACCCTGTGGGCTGAGGCAGGAGGATCGCAAGTTCCAGCCCATCCTGGACAACTTAGCGACTTAATGAGAATTTCTCAAAATTTAAAAAAATAAGAAATGGTTGGGTACGTAGCCCAGTGTGAAGGCACTGTTCAATCCTCCAGTATGGCAAAATAAATAGATGACATTTACCATAGATAGATGATACATAAAATAAAAAGAGGAATCCCAGCCCATAACAGACAAATTAATAAAGACAATGTGCTATCTATACATAATGTAATACTACTCGGCTATAAAGGATAAATTCAAGGCATTTGTTGCAAAATGGATTCACCTTGAAAAACATAATGTTAAGTAAAATAAATCAGATACACAATACCATATGATTTCTCATTTGAGTAATGGAAAGCGAAAATAAATAGCAAAATAAAAGATCAGGCCGGGCATGGTGAAAATAAATAGTAGAATAAAAGAGGGGGCCCCTGCATGGTGGCACACGCCTGTAATCCCAGGACTCAGTAAGGCTGAGGGAGGAGTATTGTTGTGAGTTTGAGGCCAGCCTTGGCTACATAGTAAGACCCTATCTCAAAAAAACCAAATAATAATAAAATAAAAGATTGGTACAAGAAGAAAAAAAAGGTCAAATTTGGATACCAGCCCATAATAGAAGGCCTTCTGGTGAACCCCCATCTCACTGGTAAGGGCTCCATCAGGAGGTAGCAGTTAGTCCAGGACCTGAGAGTTATAAATGAGGCAGCAGTCACCATCCATTCGCTGCTGTCTGAGGTCACTGGGGACACAGTGGCTCTTGGGGCTGGACTTACCAATGCTCGCTTCCTACCCCCTGAATCAATGTCCCACTTCCTACTCACCTCTGAATGGTAGGGTCCTGCTGACCGGTCCACTTACACTTTACCTGGACCATGTTCCCCAGGGATGCAGGGAGAGTCCATCTGTATGTTGGGGCCCTAGTCAAGGACACCTGGGATCCATCCCTGGAAAAGGAGAGTGCCCTCCAATATGCTGGTGACCCATTATCGACCACCCTACCAATGAGGTGTCCAACCAGACTTCAGAAACAGTGCTCAACCTCCAAGCCTAAGGCCCAAATCTCCCTACACAAGGTTATTCACCGAGGCTGTGTCCTCATTTTCTGTCTCCTGAGAGGACAGAGGCCATTTGTCAGCTGGGGCCACTCCATCCCACAAGCAACTCAGGGCATTCCTGAGGACCGGACTCTGCCACATCTGGATCCTTCACTTTGGGGTCACAGCAAAACCCCTAGATGAGGCCACACTCAGGGACCCAATGATGAGCCACTAGAATGGACACCTAAGATAGATGGAGCCTTCAAAGCCTCAAAAACTCCTTAACTGGGGCTCCAGCCCTGGAAATTTCCAACCTGACAAAACCATTCACTTTGTATGTGACAAGGAGTGGCCACGGGGGTCCTTACACAGAAGTTGGGGCCAGACAAGTGGCTGGCTGGGGTGGCACAGGAGTGGCCAAGCTGCCTGACAGCCATATCCGCCAGCGCCCCGCTGGCAGAGGAGGCCTCTAGACTGACCGTTTGACAGCTTCTGGTGCTGATGACATGCTTCTAAAACTCAGAAGTCACTTGTAGATGACCAGGACTGAGTACCAAGTGGCCCTTACTGAGTACCCAGAGGTGACCCCCCCAAACCTGTAGCACCCTCAACCCTGCCACCTTGCTGCCCAACGGGCCTCCCATTGAACATGACCAGGTTAACCCCCAGACCTGCGCTTGCCAAGCAGATTCAGACGACACTGCTGTGACTGTTGAGGCCCTCGCTTGGTTTACAGACGAGAGCAGCCTTGAGGCACCTGAAACAGGAGAGTGCGGCAGAATAATGGAGGCCGGCGGACTCCCTCCAAACACTTTGGCCCCAAAGGCCCAGTTTATGGCTCTCACAAGCGCCCTGAGTTAAACAAGGGCCAACATGTCAACATCTACGGGTTCAAAGATGCTTTCCTGGTCCTACGCATCCATGCAGCCTTGTGGAGAGAGAGGACTCCTAGCTGCACGGCAGCCCCTGTAAAGCATGGACATGCATTTCTCTGCCTGTGGAGACAGGAGAGGCACTCCACCTCCAGATCTCCCCATAGGATTCATGAAGAAGCAGCCCAGTCACAGGATCTGGGAAGCACAAGTGGAGAGGATGCTGGTGGCCTGCACCAGTTTTTATCTGCCCAGCAGCACCCAGTGGAAGGTACTCAAGTCTCCACGTGCGTTCCATGTGGGAAGGAGGCTACTCCAGCCATAGCTCTTTGCCAGACCAGAAATCCCTGCTGTTGTGGCAAAGATATGTAGTCCCTGTACGCTGTCCACTTGGACAGCCCCTCCCCGCTCCCTGAACCTGTCCAGAAGACTGGGAGGACTGCAGAGCCTTCACCCAATCCCCTGCAGGGACACAAACCCTTGCTGGGATGCATGGATGCCTGTGCAGGACGGGCAGAGACTTCTCCCACCTGGACAGGATGGGCTAGCTGGGCGGGCCAGGCCTCCCTAACAGAGATGCTCACCAGGCTCCGACTGTCCCTCAGAGTGACAATGGACACCTTCACCTCCCAGGTGGCTCAAGGCCTTGCCCTAGCACTAGACATGAAGTACTGCCTGCATCCTGTGTGGAGGCCACAATCCTCTGGGAAAGTTAAAAGAAGGAATCAGACCGACCAGAGACCATTGCCAAGCCGAGCCAGGAAACTCTCTCTGAGTGAGTGGATCTTCTGCCCGGAGCGTGAGATGCTGTGTGACAGATCGCTCCTGACGGCTGGTTTGCTGACTGCCCCAAAGACCTCTGGGTGGATACACCACATTACCACCTGGGGGTGGTCGGATGAGCCCTGAGGGATTATGGGAAGCAAATCCTCCTCACTCCTAGGGCTGGTGATTCCAATGCTCAAAGATTCTTCCTCTAGGAGGAAGGTGAGGACCTAGAAGAAGAAGGGGGCAGTAACTCCCCCAAGGCGTTGGTAAAAGGGTCCTTAGGATGTTCTGCGAACCATCCCATTGCCACTAACATACATGGGCGGGACAGGTGAACACACCTTTTCAAAATAAAGCTGTGCCCGCTGGTCACCCTGACAATCAAACCTGGCTGGAATCAGAGGTAGGGTTAGGGCTCCTCTTACGTAGCCGGCCCCTCTCCACCTGCCCATTTCTAAGGCTGCAGCCTCCCACTATAACCCAGACCACACAAAGGGCAGGGCTGCTGGGTGTGCGCCCCCCAGTCCATCCACAGTAGTGGGTCCACCCTTACACCCCTCTCCACCTCCGAGTGGGTGCTTCGGATCGAGATAAGTACTGCGGTAGTCAGTGGTGTCCACATTCCGTGGGTCCCTGCTCAGGTTGGAGCCAATGTACTTAGTCCAAAGGCCCAAGACTATTCGAATGTTTCCTGTGCCCTCCTGGAGCTGATCTTCAAAGATGCCCCCAACTGTTCCTTCATCTTCTCCCTGACCCTGTAGGGAGACTGCCAAGAATCTTCGGCACTTCTACTCCTGTCCTTTTTGTCTGACACAAGGTCTCCGTGAGTATCCCAGGCTGGGCTTGAGTAAGCTTCCCAGGGGGGCTGCAAAGTTGTGATCTTCCTGCCTCGGCCTCTTGAATGCCGGGATTAGCAGCATGTGCCACCACACCCAGCCCACCCCCAAATGTCTTACCATACGCTCTCCCTTCTGGCTTTCAGATCACAGCTGACCAAACGAAGCTGTTCTTGGAAGTTCCCAGAGCCTCTTTTTCATTCCACATAGGGACTTACCATGGCCATCCTGCGTCGTCTGGCCTCCTGGCTTTCTTGGAAACCTTGGGTACAGCTCTCTGCCCCTCTCACGGTCATGGCTGCAGGTAGGGGCAGGGCCATCTACAAATTCCAATTGCAACCTGGCAGCCTAAGCCTCAAGACGGGGGTTCTTCCAGATGTTCCACAACTGTCCACCAGCCAGCAACAGTACTGGAGCTAGGTGCCGCACCGACGGCCTGGAGCTTACCTGGCATTGATTTGTCAAGCACTTGGTTGCCAAAGAGCTTTTTGCAAACATCGCCTCACTAATTCGTTGTAGAAAGAGCTGGAACCCACCGTACGCTTCCTCTTCACTGCCTCAGCAGAGAAGTTGGTTTGCTCAGTATTAAGTTAGTGTTTTTCATTTGTTTGCTTTTTTCTTTTTGGTACCGGGGATCGAACTCGGGTGCTTGCGCTTCTAGGCAGCGGAACCACTGAGCTAAATCCCCTGCCCATCCCCCGCCTTCTTATGGAGACAGGTTCTCGCCAAGTTGCCCAGGCTGGGCTCCTACTTGTCAGGCTCCTGCCTCAGCCTCCCGAGTAGTTAGGATTACAGGCGTGCATCACTATGCCTGACAAGATTGCTTTTTAAAACTTAAATAATTTTTTTTTTTACTATTTTTTTCTATTTTCCCTCTTACAAGTTAGTTGTTTTTTTCGGTACCAGGGATCGCACTCGGGACCTTGCGCTAGTGAGGCAGGTGCGATGCCACTGAGCTAAATCCCTGGCCCTACAAGTTGGCTTTTTTAAAAACATCTTTTTTTTAATTTATTTTTTTCTTCCGAACATGGTGGTACATATCTGTAAATCCCACCACTGGGGAGGGTG